AAGAAGAAGAAGAAGAAGAAGAAGAAGAAGAAGAAGAAGAAGAAGAAGAAGAAAAGTTAAAGTGAGACAGAGGAGGTGGGAGAGGAAGGGTTACAGTGAGGCACTTTGCCGTCGCATGTAGAAAACATGAATGTGATTCCCGTGTGGAGAGGTTTTCCAATCCAATACTTCGTCAAATTATATCTTCTGAGACGTTACATCTCTCTCAGTCTGAGTTGGCCCTGTCTGGTAGTGTCGAAACTGCCTGCTTCCTAAATAGGCCTACTAATTTCTTAATTGTGTCTGTTGAATATAGGACGTCTTCAATTAAAAAAACACCAAAAAAATACAATAATATATCAAACATTTATGATTCGCCTTTTTAAATGATTTTCCACGGTTATATAACTCTTGTTGCATATTTTTGTTCTTTTAGTTTTCGACACTTGGCAATTAAATTTTCTTTTTTTCTTTTTTTTTTCTCCTTCCCTTTTCCCCTTGCCCGTCCCTCCTCCCGCTCCCTCAGGCCACGGCTAAACTGCCCAGCAAAGCCGACTTGTCCAACTGCAACCTGGAGTTCCTGCCAGAAACAGTCTTCATCAACACGGAACTGCAAATTCTCATCCTGAGACACAACGCGCTGCGAGAACGGCCCATTGAGGAAGACATCTATACCATAGGTGATTGATTGAACAGATATTATTACGATGTTAAAGCTTTTAAAAACTGGGATTTTGAAGAACAGCTACAATTAATTTATACTTGGAGCTTGTATATTGCTTGAAGTTGAATAGACAAATCAGTATTGTCATTTATAGCCTAAAGAAATGTGTTCAAATCTAAAGGGTCATTGTAATTGGAATAAAAAATTATTCTTTAAAACAAAACTATGACGTGTTTGTGTTGGAAGAGCTATAACAACTGGGATTCTGAAGAACTGTTACTATGATATAATATTATTACTATTTTAATATGTAACTGTTAACTTAGGGAAGTTTTGAGGGAAAAGAAGATGGAAGGAGTGAGGAGAGGAGATTATCTTATCTGTCCAGCAGCCTTTGTTTTTCTCCACCATGATTGAACGTACGTTGTTGCTATGTTATATCTTGTAACAATTATTGTTCTGGGGAACAGTTGTTATGTTATATTATGTGAATAGTCTAACTTTGGGGAGTCTTGGAGAAAGGGGAGGGGGGGTTGGAGGGGAGGAGATTATCTTATCCGTCAATCAACCTTGTATTCCTCTACCATAGTCTGACACTAATCTTGGTCTTTTGAATTACATAAGTTCTCACTGCCCCCTCTCTGAGAATATTATTGTCAATATACGAGTATGTTATACCAAGTTGTGAACAAGCTGTAGGCAAACTTTGTGAAGTACATGTAGTAGTATCAGTCACGAATGGATTTCTAGGATTTTTTATTTCATTCTAACCAATTGCGTTCAGAATAGGAATTCCTAACTTCTTCCTAAGGTATTATGAGACCAGGGACTGTACATAAATAGTTACTTTAAAACAACAGGGTCCTATCTCCCATATAAATCTTTCAGAGATAAACCCCTTTCGTTCTGAGTTCACGAAATCTTGATTGGTTTGTGCTCTATAAAGATAAGAGCTACGGAGCCATGGCATGGGTCTGCATTATTGGATGTAGGTTTAGAGTGGCCATTTCAATAAACACAGGATTTGGGAGGTTTTTGTCGAGATAATAAATGAGGGTAGACAACTATTGGCAGAGAATTGGATTGTGGGTGTCTTTAGATAGAGTAATTCCTAAACAATGATATCCTGGGGAGTTGCTTCAGTGTACGGAGGGTGCTCATAGTACTGTCGAAACCACTGCTTGTCAATCTGGGAGATATCGCCCTCTAGTGGTTGATTTGTTGGTATTGGTGGTTTTGGAGACCCTTCAGAGTATCTAACAATAATATGTGCTTTAGTATGTTGTGTGGATGTTAGAGGTAGAGGGGAGTGAGGAGAGAGAGGGGGGGAGTGAAAGGGGGAAAGGGGAGGAGGAGAGGTGAAAAAAGAGAGAAAGAGAGAATGAGGAAAAGACAAGTGGAGAGGTTGAGAGATAAAGAGGAGAGAGAGGGGATAAAGGAAAGGGATGATAAAGAGATATAAACAGACAGACAGACAGACAGACAGACAGACAGGTGGACGGACAGACAGACAGACAGACAGACAGACAGACTGACAGACAGACAGACAGACAGACAGACAGACAGACAGACAGACAGACAGACAGACAGACAGACAGACTGACAGACAGACAGACAGACAGACTGACTGACAGACAGACAGACAGACAGACAGACAGACAGACAGACAGGCCGACCGACCGACCGACAGGCAGACAGACAGAGGGTGGAGGTGAGAAAAAGAAAAGGAGATGGGGGTGTGGGGGGGGGGGGGGGGAGAAAAGGAGTGAAAGGCGGATGAGATGGGAAAAAGGAAAGGAAAGAGATAGAAAGATAGAGAGACAGAGAGAGGGAGAGAGAGAGAGAGAGAGAGAGAGAGAGAGAGAGAGAGAGAGAGAGAGAGAGAGAGAGAGAGAGAACGTTAGGATGCAAGAGTGAAAGATTAAGAGAAAAGATTGAGAGAACCTACCAATTTAGCCCTATCCTTATTCGTTTAAACACTGAGCTGAAATGTTCTTTGTTCATATGTTCAGGCTGGTTGGACGACCTCCCCCGGTTCACCATGCTACGCAGCCTCAACCTGGCCAACAACCAACTGAGCACGTTCCCACTGTCTTTGAGCAGCATCCGGTCTCTCATGGAGCTCAATCTGGCTAGCAATAAACTGGAGGAAATCCCTCCCCAGATTGTTGAGTTGGTCAAGTAAGTTGGTCAAAAGAAGTCGCTACATACCTACCTGTAATAACTAGTGCCCATTGTCACTATCAGTTTGGTTCAGTTCTGTTCGGTTCGGTTTGGTAAGGGAGGCTATCCAGATCGATGGCGCAAAGAGGCCATCATTGCACAAACCGATCGTCCGGCTCTCAGCCTCAAAAGCAAACACATTTGTTTTCAGGTCGCAAATCAGGCAATCGGTTGACTATCGGTTTGCCAATCCCCTAGCGTGCACTGGGTACATGGAGTAATAAATCCTGTTCCACTGCACAGCCGTAAATGACATCATAGCTGCACCTCTCCCTCCGAGACCTAACATTGACTATTGGCAGCACAAGCTGTGGAACATTACCGCATCTGCAGGAAACCTGCACATATCTTACAAATCATTGGACATAAGTGCGAGAGTCTAGCCGTTTCTGGATTGATAACAACAACAACAACAACAACAACAACAACAATAATGACAATAACAACAACGACAACAAGAGCAACAAAAATGAATAATGAGTTACTTTGAAAACTGGTTTCCAAGGTGACTCACAAGGACATATTATAGTGATACATAAAAGTTTGCTGGTCTACTGGATGGAAGCAGTATTATTGTTTTCTCATGTTTTCCTCATAAATGAGAAATATCTGCTTGCCCATACCAGTATCCTCATGTACCAAATATTCATTGCTTTATAAAAAATTTGGTTCACGTAATTAATGTGTTTAGCTTGAATCCTAAAGCCTATTTTTAATGCTGAAAATGCTAACATTACTTGATATTATAAATGTGGAGTGACACTGGCGATATTGTGCTTTCCTTCGATGTAAAGGCGAGTCTAAACACCAGCCTCACCTACGCCTTCTCAAAGAGACCTTCATGTTGTGTGCCCTGTCTGTCATTCCCTAGATATCATTAAGTCTTATGTCCCCTTCATCTCTGTTGTTCCATTATTTTTAATGTTGTTTTGTGTGTGTATCTTGATCAGTTTACAGGTTCTCCACCTCCACAACAATATGCTCAGCTCTCTGCCAGAGGAAATTTGTCAAATGCGCAGGTTGGCTGTGATAGTTCTAGCCTTCAACCAGTTCACACATATCCCACCAGTCCTGCTACAGTCACAGCATTCCTTCTTCTCGGTGAGAAACAAAACCACAATATTAACAATAAATATCAAATCGATGTTCATGACTCCCACTTAGTGTATTCTCCTGTCATTTGTGTTATTTTTTCAAGGCTATAGCATGATTTGTATTTGAAGAGGAATGGATATTATTATTTTTCCTTTTAACCAGCCAACCCCCACCTTCAACTGCAGATTTCTCGATTTCCATCAAGATAGATGGGTATTTTTTTCATCAAAGACAAGTGAACAAGCTTTAAGATCATTCCATAACCCCTTATTACCCTAAAATTGATGAGCTTCTGATTCCTCCATGTTGTGATACAAATAGCCCTTGGTTATACCTGTATCTCACTTGGAAAAAAATCATGTTTTTTCAAACAAATCAACTTCAATTCTTTTTCAACAGCTTGACAGCATCATCATGGCGGGGAACCAGATCTCCCGTCTCCCGGCTGACCAATTAATGTACATGAGACACATAAAGAAAATTGACCTGAGGCTAAACAGACTCAAGCTGCTGCCAACAGAGACAGCCAAGTTCCAGAGTCTAGAACATGTCACCCACGTGGACATCAGGCAGAATCAGGTACAGCAGTAACTGAATGCTTTGTGGAGTTCAAGAAAAACTTTAAGTCACTATTACTGGCTTGGACCCTCAGCATTCTTTTTATCGCAATACAGTGGAGTCTACTTACAACGAGTTTCGAAATAACAAGAAGTCTGTTACAAAGACACTATTCTAAAACCCCGTTTTTTTCCCTTCTTTTTCTTCGTAAATAAAATACTGCCATAGCGCAATCAGACAAACATGCGCATCGGTTATAGCGGAATATTGCTGTTGCTGTGCACAGCGCATAGGCCAGTACATAAAACCTCACCAGTTGAGAAACTTGTTGGTTATTTAGCAAAACTAAGGACCTTAATACAACTCCTGAGCGAAACAAAAAATGGGAGAGCCCACGTGTGCCAACAATGAAGGCCGCAGTGACTGAGTGGGGAGGGTGTGATATGTGCAGACAAGCAGAACGCTTTGTGTGATAGGCCAGCCTAGTCTAGATTATCTAGGCCTACCATGCCTCTCAGTACTCTCACTTCTCCGATGCAGGAATGGAGAGGTCACATTGATGCTGTGATGGATGGAGCGAATGTGTGACGTGCGCAAGCATATGCATCGTACCACAGGGTGTGGTGGGGTGGGGAACAAAACAGAGGGCCAGTTAGCCTAGAGCCCTTTCTTTCTGATCGTCTACGCCGAGCTGTCAGCATAGCTAGCGCTCGAGAAAGAAACCTGATTCGATTTTTGATCAAGTAAAACCTAGAGGTCATGTTGAATAAAATCACCATCAGGGGAGATCACAAAAACAAATAAACAGAATACCAAACTCGTAGATTGGGCCTACTTTATTATTTCCCTTGAACCTATTACTGGATAGGATCCCTTTTAACAAGAATCCTGGTATAACGCACATTTCACACCAGTCCCCTCCCTCTCGTTATAACAGGATTGCAATGTATCAGTTTGGTAGACATACAACATTGCAGCCTGTTCTGAAAATTATCTCTGTTCTTCCTCTTTCTCTCTCTCTCTCTCTCTCTCTCTCTCTCTCTCTCTCTCTCTCTCTCTCTCTCTCTCTCTCTCTCTCTCTCTCTCTCTCTCTGCACCCACCCCCAAACCCCTTATCTAACTCCCCACCCCTTCTGTCTCTCCCTCCATATCTCCTCCTTTTGTTTTTCTTCCTGTGCCATTTTCTGTCACCATCTTTCTTTCTTAAGTTTTTACAAATTTCTTAGTGATTTTTGAAAAAATATTATTTTATAAAAGGGCCACCTTTTTCACAAATTTGATACAATAAAGAAAACTTTAACACAATCTACAAGCCTAGTAGATACACTATTCCTGCCATTCTCTACAAAGTATGTTGATGTACTTTCCCAGGATTGGAGATCCATTCACATAACTGAAAAAAAAATTTGTATCACTGTAAGGGGGTAAATGCCTGTTACTGCTTCGATCACACAAAGGGAAACTAAGATGAGACAAGACTTGTCCATTAAACACTTTGGTCATAAATACTCCTTAAGAAAAGAACTTTATACCTTTTTGCTAACTTTACTTCAGGTGAAAGACCTCGACATAAGGGCTATCCGATGTATGGAGTACTTGAACTGTGAACGCAATGTGATGAGATCCATGCAGCTGAACGGTGCTTCCTTGAAAAATGTTTTTGCAGCTCACAACTGTAAGTTTTTAACTATACTCACCATGTCTTTCTAGATACATTTTCTTCTTTCAGTGAAAGAGAAAAATGCTCTTCTCTCAATTTAAAGGGTTTGCCCTTAGCCTTGGAGATAGTTTTGAGCTTAGTACAATTGAAACTTCTGTAATGACCACATATATAAGACAGTCGTCTGTACGAATATCCACTCCCCATTTCCCTTCTCGCTCTTTATTACATTATAATGACACTGTGTAAAACACCCACCTGTATAAAATGGCCAATTTTCTCCTCGACGTTGGATGGCTGTCTTTGACAGTTTGACAAGTCTTTCTTAATACATTTCCGTCTTGCTATGGAAGAGAAAAACCATCTTCTCTCAATTATAAGATTTGCCCTTAAAAATAGCTTTGAGATAAGAACATGATGACTGGATTAATATGCGCAAGCTACAATATTAATAGGACCTGCTCTCTACTATATTACCTTCTGATAAACATTTTTTCTCATTTAGCATAAAACGTGTTTTGGCTTAAGCATATTAAGCATGATTATAGATCTAGTAAATACTTTTCCTCTGTCAATGAAATGTCAACAAGTTTTGGTTATTACCCTCAGGTCTCCAAACGGTGTCGATCAGTCCCAAACCAGAATGGCTTGTGAGCATGGATGTTTCACAGTACGTTACTTCAGACACTTTATTGGTCTACTGATATGATAATAACACCCTTGTCTTCTGTTTTCATGTCTCTGGCTCAAGAATGTTTTTAAAAAAATTTTTCTTTAACCTCTAATGTTTTGTGTGGGCTACCACAGCAGTTGTGTTAAATGATCAGCGTAAAACATGTTAAGTGCGTTAAGATTAACTTCCCTTCTGATTTTTGTTTGATCTACACCTCTCATTTTAGGACTTTTTCCTGAAAAACACATTTACTGCTATTTTTCCTTTTTGTTTCCGGATTGGCATTTTTAGAAGAAATACTTCTACTGATCTCCTTCTTTTCTTGATGTATAAGTTTGTTGTATACATCTTCTATAGTCTCTAACTCGTTGCTCATATATATATATAAAATATAATATAATATAATATATAGATTACATGTTGAAATCAGTGTACCATTAATAGTAAGAACAATGTGATACATTGTGTATGGATGAGAAATTTTTTTTAAAGTACTTGTCGAATTCTGCACATCTTTTTCTCCTTCAGTAACCGTCTGACAGAGATTCCCAACTGGCTCTCGGATTGTTTCTTCTTGGTGCACCTGGATGTGAGCCACAACTACTTGAAAGCCTTGCCTGAGAGGTATTGATAGCCAGACATCTGAAATACCAGTGGGAAAAAAGACTTTTTTCATAGTAGCCATCTCTCCTTGATCATGAAGTCTTTGTGTTCTGAAGACTTCTTATACTGTAAACTGAGATTAAATTATTTTTACAGCACCACACAAAAAGGCATGGATAACTGCAGCATGTTGGAGATTGACAAAATATGTTTGACCCATCCATAATTCAGGTTAACGTCTATGAAAAATTAAAGAGATATCCGTCAGGGAGTGGTAAATTGTACGAGCTATCCATGTCCGTCTTCGTGTCATCTGTGTCTGACTGTATTTATATTTTTCACCTATAAACATATTTCATAGCAAGATTTATCTGCCATCAGTTTGCTAGGCCAGTCGCAGTTTCACCAGAGCCCTTTAGCCAGCTATGTTTCGGGGGTGACCCGGGTCAGCCTTCAGGGCTAGTGTAATGCCTCAGTGATATAAAGTCTCACCGTATTTCACCCAGACCCAGCTATCCCCTACTTTGTCCTGATTCCACTTCTCCTGTTGAACCCTAGGAAGCTTTAAGATAATCATAACTCCTGAAAATTCATGTGAATTACAAACAACTAAAATTGGTCAAGAAGTTTAAATATCTGGGCAACATTTTTACTGAAAATAGTTCTATAGATAGAGAAATTGAAATACAAGCACAAAAAATACCAACATGGCTGCTCACCTATCAGGTGGCACCCCTTCTATCTCACTCAAACATCTCCATGGACACAAAGAGACAGCTTATTACTTCAATATTTATACCAACATTGTGTAAAAGAAATAACCTATAAAGATTTAAAATTGTTCCCTGAGTTAATAATCATGTAATCAACAAGAAAGCTACTCTTCCTTTCCATTTGTTTAATCTTTTAAATTTCTAAAATATAATTTTCATAAACTGTTACCTTCACAGCTATTGCTACATGGTGTGTATGAAAAATAGAAATTCATAGGCATTATTCACCACAAGAAAGATAATAAAAATTGATTATTGATGTACTAACACTCAATGTGCTATTTCCTCAGGCTGTTTACAGATGCTCGCAAGCTAAAGATTGTGAAGGCAAACCACAACAGACTGACTTCTCTCCCTGAGAAAATCCACACAGACACTCTGGAAGAGCTTCATCTACAGCACAACCTCTTACGTCACCTGTCAGTGGAGCTGTTCGTAAAGGCTCACAGGTATGTTTTGTCTTGTATTTTCAATTGTGCATATATATGTAGATCAGGAAAATGTAGCTTTTTTGAGAGCATCTGAGCAAAGAAATGAATGGACAACCATGATTGCTGATATCTGGCACTTGATGATGATGATGATGATGATGATGATGATGATGATGATGATGATGATGATGATGATGATGATGATGATGATGATGAAAATACAGTCTCATATGTGCATGTGTGTCTGTGCATATGAGTGTGTGTAAGTATGTGTGTGTATGTGTGTGTGTGTGTGTATGTATGTGTGTGTGTGTGTGTATGTGTGTATATGTGTGTATGTGTGTGTGTGTATTATTATGTGTGAGAGAGAGAGAGAGAGAGAGAGAGAGAGAGAGAGAGAGAGAGAGAGAGAGAAATGGGGAGAGAAGTTTGGAAAAGGTATTTTGTTCTCAATCTTTGAAATTGTCAAATTATCATTGATGAAATAATGTTCATGATCACTTTCATTGTCGTCACCAACAGGTTGAGGTATCTCAACATGACACGCAACAAGCTCTCTGACCTGCCACCCCCGAACAAGAACGACTCGTACAACAAGCTGCAGGAGCTCTATCTGTCGTTCAACCATCTGGCCAACAGAGCCCTCCAGAAAATCTGCTGCTTCCCAAGACTCAGGGTCTTGCATATGGCCAGGAACAAGTTGTCTGTGATTGAAGAAATGTCAGTTAATACGAATGTTCTGAGTCTTGATTTTTTGTAGAGGTTTTGTCATTTTGTAAAATTTGAATTTTGCTAGATGATTTTGATAATTTTACATTGCACATTTGGTGAGCTGAATGAACCATATGGTTCCTGATCTAATCTCCTTATATTAACTTTTGATTTGAAGATGTGATAATTACAGTACAATGAAGGACTAGCTTAATAGAGTCTAAATTGTCCAAGATGGAGAAATTGTCAAGGAGAAAAGTGATTGTCTGAGACAGGTGGACGTCATGGACAGTGTCTTTATGATATTATATGAGGGGGGGGGGGGGAGTTGGAAGTGGTCATTTATACAGATGATTGTCTCAAATAGGTGGCCTTTAAAGCAGGTTCAACTTAATTTTGCCTCTAATTATACAGTGTGCATCTTGTGTCAAGCGATATCACTCACATAAAATTAAAACAATACAAATGATACTCAGTTTCTGTATGTTCCATAAAAAAAAATAAACAGGCACCTCTCTACCCTCGGCCACAAAAAAGGTTTCCGAGTTTCTGAATGGCTTGCTTAGGACAGTAAGCCTTTGATTCATAACATACGCCTAATTTAAACAAAACCATCTCTGTAGTAATGAAATATTATCTTTATTTCTACTTTGTGTTGGCAGGAGCAGAAATCTTTGCATTGTATTGTACACTGATAGCAAGGCTTAAGGTAGTTACAGGATGCATTCTATTCATCACCTGATTTAAATCCTCATTTTCTGCAATACTTTTTGATGATGTTTTCAGGGATATTGAGAAGCTGGAGCAGCTGACAGAGCTGAACGTGTCCTCCAACAACTTGACTTACCTCCCTTCAGCCCTGGGCAGACACCCCAAACTACAAGTGCTCCGAGCTAACTGCAACTTACTGCGGGAGCTGCCAAACTTCAAAAACTCGTCAGGGTTGAAGGTAGGGCCTATCTTGTTTGAGTTAGAATAACATTATATGCAGTTTGGAGGAGGAGAAGGCCTGTATGGCACATTGAGCACTTCGTTAGTGATAATGCACAATATAAGTGAAATTGTTACTCATCTTATTATTATTATTTTTATTATAATTATTATTATTATTATTATTATCATTATTATTATTATTATTGTAGTGTGAGGGGTAGGCACATTACTGTTGTGAGCTGAAGATCCGAGTTCGATTACTGTGTGGAGAGAATGTTTATAGTATAGAGTATATTGGTCTTTCTGGTGGAACATTTTTTCCTTCTTAGGCGAGGTCGGCCCTTCTCCTAAATGATCTAAATTGTGTTGATGGGGCTCAAAAACGCCTACATTTTAAACAAAATGAAAGAAGAGAAGGAGGAGAGGAGGATTGTTTAAACGATACATGGTGGACTGTTCGTCAAACTAATAAAAGTAGAGGGTAAAGAACTTCTGTTCTGTGTGAAAATTCCCTCTGTAGTTGTAAACAATGACCTCTGTATCCCTTAAGGTCCTGGAAGTGAGCTCCAACCATCTGGTCAATGTGGACATGAGCAATCTGATGGCATCACAGGTGTCTCTGCTGGACATCTCGGCCAACCCAAGCATTCTGGTCAAATCTCATGACATAGAAGCTGCCAAGTAAGTTATAAAAGCTACGGATGTAATTGTGGTTACTTGAGTGCAATTTGTTGCTTTGAAAGTTTGTCGACATTGATTTTCTAATTTGCTTTGTAATTGCTACTGAGGTGAGTTTGTCAGTAAACGTTATTCTGTTGTAGGTACCGATCATATTTCTCATAGTTCCTATTTTCAACATGCATTCCTCTGTTATCAGGGTTAATAACAATAGAATAGGATACATTTCAACATAATGTGGTGACAAATATTCTAACAATGTCCTTTATACTTTGAATTAATGTCATTAGTGTCGTTTGGTATCATCTGTTACATAACTGTTTTGAAATTTTCAACCTAACGCAGCTTGTCATCGGTATCGCAAGCATTCCACTTAAGTCTATTTGGGTACTTTTGACAAAAAGACAAAAAACTACTAATTTTTGCTGTGTTGTTCGTGTCAGAAATCATGAACAGCAAGAAAATTTTCTGCCTTGACCAAAGCATTTGAACTGCATATTGGTGATGTTGAAAGGCATATCTTTGATAGAGCTTTGGGAGGGAGTATAAATAGACATATTTTTATAATTTGCGAGGCAGCGTGGTGAAATCAGGCGCTTGTCAAAACAGTGAAATCAAAGAAACCGGCATTTTTCTGGACGTTGGGCAATTTTTTGTAAATTTTTTGTTGTTGCTTCAACACCTTTTATGTCTTTTCAAAAAAACTATATATCTGTGTGGATGTTACTGAAAAATATTCATTAAAGGCACAAAAAATATAAAGTTACAGTTTACAATGACACTCAAGCTTTGGAAGTCACGAAACTTTGGCGGCCATTTTCTCGCTTATTTTATCTTTCATATCAACCACCTCCTTCAATCACAAATATCTCAACCTTCTATTCAAAATAGAAGGGTATTCTTTTCGCCAAATGCAAGACAACTGAACAAGCTTTCAGATACTACCAATAATTCCATATGCCCAAAAATTGACAAGCGCCTGATTCCACCACGTTGTGACACATTTGGACTTAAGGAGATTGTTTGGAACAGCTTCGTTGTGGCTAAGACTAGATCTATTGTGTGTCATTTTTCATCTGATTTTTTAAAAAAAAAAATTTTTTCTTCAGAAATTCCAAGCGACTGTGTATGATGGATATGAGAGGGCAGAACTGGTCGCTGGAGGATGTCCGTTCTCCGGAGGTTGCGGAAGACTGGCAGTTGTGGCAGACAGGGCTCTCACAGACGTCTGGGATTCGCAACAAGTCAGTTTTTTATGTTTTCTATTTTTTTACAGAAAGAGCATTCCCATCGCTCACAATAAGACTCTGTCATGTCGTATGACAGAGTTTTTCACTAAGCAAACAATTCATGTTTTTAAATAAAAGAGATTTTGCAACATTCTTGAACAACTTGAGTGTAGAAAATACTGTTTGGCTATTCACATGTTTTAAATGAAGAAAACATGCCTCCCCCCCCCCAAATGTGATTCTCCTTTGATTCATAAACAAATGAAGCTTGCATGGAACAGTTCTTTCCTCTTTTAACAGGTCAAATGTAAAAAGTTAGGGAGTGGGGGGGGGGGGGGGTAGGCAAACTCAACTACATATTATATATATATAAATATAAATATATATATATATAAATATATATAAATATATATATATATAGATATATAGATATATAGATATATATATAGATATATATATAGATATTGATCTATGTTGATGATACAATCGTCCAAGACTTTGATTTGGCTTTTATTACGATCACATCTGGTTCTCCATCAGACTGTCAGTCACGGCTGTCAACAAGCCTCAGTTCAACGACAAAGGTGAGGCTCTGTTTGCAATATTTGATGGAGGTCGCAACGAGACTGTCTCGGGCATCTTGAGTGACATCATCCCCAACATCCTGCGGGAGGAGAGGGTGAGGAGTAAGGCTCCAGATGCTTACCTCAAGTACTGCATGCTGTCAGCACACAGGTAAGTTTGAGTTTCTTTTATACCCCCATCAAAAACAAAAATCATATCAGAGGCATTTACTATGTATTCACATCTCCTTTGAGTTAACCATTAACTGTGTTGAACCATATTCCTGGTACAGCTATTAGAATAGGTTTGTCTGTATTTATTATTGATGCACTTTCTTTCTAGTTAGCCTTTTGAAGAACTAAGCTAAAAGTTGTCAGTTAAGTTTGTTATGCAATGCTCCTTACATTGTCATAATTGTCATAGTTTGTTCTTTCTTTCCATACAAATTGACTTACTGAGCAATGGCGTGTGTTGAGGTAACTGTCTATATTTTTATACTTTCATTGTACTCACTTTTACAGCTTGAAATTGTAATAAATTCTTCCATAGTCTTTGTCTACAATTTATGCTAAATGGGATAGTTATCTTGAAGACGTATCGACATGTGCCTGATTTTTCCCCTATCAGCCATCTGTTGAAGACTAATTATACAAAAACTGTTAAAACTCATTGTTTAATGTGATTTTTCTTACAGGAACCTCAGACAGCAAGGCCAGAAGCTAGGAGCGGCTGCTGTAATGGCACACATCCACTACGACGAAAAAGGCCAGCACGTCCTGTCAGTTGCCAATGTTGGAGATGCTCAGGTTGGTAGATACATACAGTCGGACCTGCTTTAATGTCGATCTGTCCAAGACAATCATTTGTACAAAATATCTCTTCCAATTTGTAGGTTTAAAAAACATATGTGTGTATAACTGTATGAGTAAGAGTGTGTGTGTGCATGTGTGCATGTGTGCGTGCGTGCGTGTGTATACTATGTTTATTATACAAACTCGGAAATAACAGGACAGAAGGGACCGGCAGTTTTTCCCTGTTATAACTTAAGCGAGTCCTGTTATAACCGTTACCAAGGGAAACTACCAGTACCTTTGCACCTTCAGCTTACTATGTATATTCGATTACGGCAGATACTTTTCTAGTGGGCTGTTTTGCTGACACTGAGATGTAATTGATCAGTGACCCCAACACTACCGGGGGTGAGTATGTGTTTGAAAGTTTGTGTTTAGGCAAGCGATAATTCAAACAGGCGAAATGTCTAGGTTGAGGCTAATTTTTTTTAATTTGACAGATCGAAAGTAAGTTTATATGCTGCAAGATCACTGTTATATCCAAGTCTGCACAAATTGAACCCTGTTATATCCAGGTTCATATTGCTTACACTTATAGAGATAAAAAACAGGGATTTGATTTATCACTGTTATATCCAAGTTCCTGTAATAACAGAGGCTGCTATAAATATGTACTGGACTGTATGTGTGTGTTTATGTGCATATATGTGTGTAATCATATGTGTAGGACATATCTCTGGTGTTCTGTGTATGTGCTAAATGATTGCTTCAAATTTACAAACACTTAATTTTGAGACATATATCGCCAGCAAGCTGTTTAGCTGTTTCAGGAGAGAGAAAAAACTTTCATTTTTTAAAGAAATTATTGTACTTACATTATCTTGTCTTGTGTTATTAACCTTTAGAGTTTGGATTTTTACCCCCCAGAGCGGTGGTACTGACTGAAGTGTCTTTATGCCATTCCCAAAGGGGAGCATTAATATGTTCTTATGCACAGTAGAATTGTAAATGGGCTGATTCATCAATGTCATGCTCACTGTGCCTGAACTGCAACTGGGAACTGCTGCTTTTTCTTTCCTAATCCTTACTATCGTCATTTTTCCTCTACTTTTTTGTATGTTTGTCACTCTCTTGTGACCCGCTATTTCCGGGGTGACTTGATAGTCGAACAGACTTTGTACTATCGAAGCTAGAGAAGTGAGCAGAGTAAGCCCGATTCCCTGTGTAAGGACTTCTCTGTTGACATCCGCCCTTTGGCGCTCATATGACCTTATGCAGTTGTGAGCGCCGTATAACCTCTACTAAAACTAAAAGAGTTTGAATTTTAAAAAAAATTGTTATTGCTAATCACAACCGATACCGCAGATTACAAAACTACAATAAAAATAATCTTTCAATGATGAGCTTAGTACATCTGAACAGCTGTCTTTCAACATGATGTCACAAGCCATGTTTATTGTTCTGCATTCTATTAGGTTGTCCTGTGCAGACAGAGGCGAGCACTAGTTCTATCGAGACCGTTTGTGGTGTCCCAAGATGAGGAGGACACTCGGAGAGTGGTCAAATCAGGGGGAATCATCACCGAGGTCAGAAATAGTGTCACACTTTTCAGTGAAAATACAGATAAATTATTGTTTTTGAAAAAAAATTACTAATCGTTTTTATATATATGTTCTTCACAACATTCTTGAATATTTATTTCACATTCTAGAAATTATGAATAAATAATATGTTTAACTGCATTTGTAGACGAGTTTTGGCTGGTACAATCACCTGCAAACTGCTTCAAAGATTCTTTTTTTTTAAATCCTTTGTTTTGTATTCACGGTGTGGTGATATAATCAATATCATCAAATTGTGATATAAAACCGTAGCATTCTTAGTTTGATAAACAAAGGATTGCCTGCTAATTTTCATGTTTTTTTCCTACTAATTTTTAGGATGGCCGTGTGTCTGGAGTGACTTACAACACCCGACTGCTGGGCTGCAGTTATCTTTTCCCGCATGTGGTACCAGAGCCATACATCACTTCAACAGTGCTCTCTCCTGAGGACACATTCTTTATCGTGGCCAGCCAAGGGCTGTGGCAGTACATCACCCATGATGAAGCAGTGCGGGAGGTCAAGGTAACTTAATGACCAGTCCTCTTTCCCTGTGCGGGGGGGTTCTTACAAGTTAATGAACTATATAGATAACAAAGGTGCTGAATTTCAGACAAAGAAGTCCCAGTTCCTGAATCTGTGCACATTTTTCTTGACATCAGCCCAATCATTGGGAAGTTGTTACAATTTATATATAAAGATTTGAGATGTATTAGTATTGAAAAAAAGATCTGTAAATTTCAAGTCTTCTGTACAGCTGATTGTCTTGGACAGGTGGCTATTAAAGAAAGTTTAATTGTATTTTTTTTGTGGCTTCATTTCCACTTTCAGGACTGTCCCGACCCTGTTGTGGCTGCCAAACGTCTGCAAGATTTGGCTCAAGGTTACGGGTCTCGTGAAAACATATCAGTGCTTGTCGTTCGCCTAATGTTGACGGAAGCTGAGAGAGTCAGGATCAAGGACCTCATGAGAGTGCAGAGAAAAGGGCAGAAAGAGCTGTTGAAGGCGAGTCTATCTGATAATCTCTATTGCAAATTGTTTAATTTTGTAAGTGCCGGTACCTGATATTTTGAAATTTTCATTTTAGTCAAACTCATGCAGTTATTTAAAGAACACTCCTACTACTATATTTTTTCAACCCCGTGAGTTGAAAAGTTTAAATTTAAGTTAAAAGCCCTACTTAGCAAAAGCACAATGTCAGTAAAGTGAGTTGTGAAAAGAAAAAAAGAATAGAAAGATCAAGAAGCCAAAGCAGCTCTTCTTGACAAAGTTCTCTTACGATTCTCTAGGATAGCACTGATAGTTGCTGGTGATTTTATTATCAATCTGAGTTCTGTTTGGTTTTTAACTCTTTGAGGTCTTATATTTAACCAATCTTCGAGATGATTTGTGGAGGGCTCCATTAAAAAGAAAAAAAAAGATTTTTAGAAACAATGTAATATTTCATTTTTAAAGAAAATCTAACATGTTGACATCTTAGTACTTTCAAAAATCTGTTATTTTTACTAATAATTTCATTCTTTTTTTCTTTTCCTGTTTCAGGTCCTGGGTCAGAAAAGAGACATACTGCAGCTTCGAGACGGAGTTCCTAAAGTTGCTGAGCTTGACAATGTGGTCATAGACAAGGCTGGCCATGCTAAAAAGCACAGAAGCAGCCGCAAACACGTCTTGGAGTCTGCGTCCTCCGAGAACTCAGCCTTTGTCTCGGACGACACCTCCAGCACACGTTCGTCTTCTTCAACGACACTAAAGGAAACAGTTACCAACAAAGATTCTAACGCAATCTCTGGGAAAAAGCACTTTCATAAACATACAGCAGATGACAGTACTGAAAATAGTTTGAGACAAATTCAAGAGGACAAACGCCTGTACAAAAAGAAAGTTCACTCTGTAAATCAGAACAACTGGGACAGTGCTCTGAAGAGACGACTGGCAGAGGAGGTGAAGTCCAAAGAGATGCAGTTTGAGCTTCTGGGAAAGAACGATGGAGACAGCAGTGGGGATGAAGAAGCTTCAAATTCAAGTGAGGAGCAGCCAAACTGGATTGCAATGCGACAGAAACAGAAAGCAGAAAAGCCAGAGGAGTGGGAAGCTCTTCTGCAGCAAAGACTAACTCAAGAACTAGTGAATCGAGAACTCAAAAAAGCTCTTGATAGTAACGGAAAGAATGATGCTCATTTTGCTGAGAGCAAAGAGAGTGATTCTGAAATTGAAAAGTGGGTGAAAAAATCTAGGAAAGATTCAGATGGGCGTCAAAAACAATTGAAAATGCAAACTCACAATGATGATGACTTTGAAGAGATGGTGGAACTCAAAGAAGAGGAAATTATTTCTCCTGCTCAATCTTTGGATTCTATCAAAAGTGAAATTTTGCGAATGATGGCAAATTCCTCCCATTCTCACTTTTCTCCACCAACAAAGTCTCCTCAGAATGAGAACTCTGAGGACATTTACACGCGACATTCCCCGTCTGGTGGTTACAATGTGTCTCCGTGTGAGTCGGTCAGCTCCATAGACGTACGACTACACAACGAGGCGGATGAAATTTATCGCCTCCGCCACATGTGGGGTGCAGATACATCTGCTGAGCAGGAGGCAACAGTTCAAAGTGACATACATGGCTCTGATGTATCTAGGTCCGGATTTTCCAACAACGGTGATGGGCCCAATCAGATACGCTTACGGCCCCTTTCTCCAGATTCTCTCATATCCCAAGATGAGTTTGTGAAGCCACCTATCAGCACAGCTAACATAGACCGCGATGCCCTCTTGTTTCATCAGATGCAGATGGCACGTGCGCAAGCCCATGCAGGAAGTGTTGCCAGTCTGGACTCGATTCAGTCAGCGCCGATGCATGCGTCACGACGAGATGTGTTCCCTGATGTGAAGGCGTCCTCACACAGCATAGAAGTGCTGGTGAATGTGGGAGAAGACAAAAACGCTAAAGTCACCCTTTCCAATGGAAAACTTTCGGACTCTATCCACGGGGGGCGAGTGGACTGGGGCAGTAGCGTCAGTGGGAATTTGAAGAAAAGTTCTCACACCCTAACCAGTAGCAGACTGGCTAATGCAGATTCCGGTAGTGTCAAGGAGAAAGAGAACGGACACTTATCACAGGAGAAGCTTCAAAGAAACGCAAGTGTAGAACTCCTGCCAGTGAAAGAGAAGGCAAAAGAGTCGGTGGAGTTGGATTTTGTTGATGCAGACGATGAAGATGACAGGGACACTCTCGTCGGTGATGCCGATGATATTGGGGTTTTGGACTTCAAGGGTAGTAATTCTAGCATGAAGAAAGTGAATGGTGAGAAAGATTATTCTGATCACAACATTAAAGTGTTGTCTACCACTTTCAGTAAAGTAAAAAGAGATACAGGAGAGAAAGAAAATGTTGATGATGAAGGGTCAGACAGTGATGAGTCCATCGGAAATGTTTCTTTGGAAGATGGATATTCTGCGATAGAGTTTCAGAGTTTTCATAAACAAGGAAGTATGAGTATGCTCAATGTCCTTGAGAGTGAATCTGAAGACTATCCTGAGCTTTTTATGCTTAAGAAAAGGAGCTCTAGTAAAAAGAACAAGCCAACCATTATTGCTGTAAAGAACAAGCCCAAGAACCAAGTATCAGATAAAGATGCTAATGACAATTACGAAATTATCGAGGATAATCACAAGCATGTTGCTTCCATCGAAAAGAATGAAGAAGAAGCTTCTGAAGAGGAGGATAATGATCTCTACGAGGATATGCAGATTTCACCTGTGAATATTTGTGCTCCTCAACTTCCTCCGGTGGTGAAGGAAAGCCCAATGATATCGACACGTCCCAGTGAAGAAGACATTGATGCTCTCTATGCCAAAGTGAACAAGCTAAAGATGGACAAAATTCGAGATAAGCGAAGTGAGCCCGAGGGTTTGGGTACAAATATGGACAAAATCTTACCCATCCTTCTATCCCCAACAGCAAAAGAAAGCCCGACAAAAGTGGGAGAAACTCCTGCTGTGAAGGAGTCTGGCTCAGAACCTAGGGCTGAGGTGGTTTCAGACTCGGAAGATGAAGATGATGAAGAGATTTTTCTTTCTGCTCACGACTTGTATCAGCCAAATATCGTCGGGTTAAAAGAAGAGTCTCAGTTTTCAAGCACTGATAATACCATAAGTGGTAGCCCAAAGCATTCTTTCAAAACATCCCCCGAGGAATTAAGATCTACTTACTCTGATGCTGTGCATTCCGAGTCAAAGACTTTCTTATCTTCATTCAAACCTGCACAAGCACCAGAAACTCCGTGCAATACTTCTTCTGATATCAGTCATCCTGAGCTGTCTAGCTCTACTGGAGCGGTGATTCCCAAGAGGTCGTCTCCTGCAACTTCTGTCAAGTCTTTCAGATCCTCAGAGGAAGTACCAGCAGACGCCTCTCCACCGTCCACCTCTGCTTTCAACCCTCAGCACCGACACCCAGTCCGGCATGCCCCACAGCCTCTCTCACCCCGCCAGCCTCAGCAAAGTCAGAGACAGAAGCTTCCTCACCGACTGCCCCCGCCTCCCCCGCCCACACCAGTAATGAAACATAATGTTACAGAGGCACTGAGCCAAATGGAAACCCAACAAAATCCGCCTCCCCCGCCAACCCCGCCTCCTCCCCCTCCTCCCCCTCAAAGGACACAAAGGCCCTCACCTCCTCCTATTCAATATCCTTCATCCTCCCCACCACCTCTTCCTCCCCCTCGATCTTCTCCCTCCCCCTCCCTCACTTCTCAATCAACCTCATCAACAGGTTCACTGCAGTCTTACAAGCCTCCGATAACGCCACGCAATTCTCTCACCAAGAAGTCAAAGGTACTGCAAAGTTTCCAGCCTCTTCCTCCTCCTCCTGTTCAGTCAAACCAGCAAACATTTCATGAACCAGACTCACACGACAAGGAGAACGATATTGACGACTCTGTCCTGTCTGGACACATTCAGTACCCAGAGATGTACAAGAGGAAACCTCCATCCCCCAACCAGACCCACTTATATTCAACAAGTCCAGTAGACATGGCCTCAGCCACCAGCAAGCTTTCTACGCAAAGAAGCATCATTATAACGTATTTATGATAGTTTGGTTGTATCTGCCTTATTGCCAACTTCACATATGACTCATACCACTGCTTTCGTTACAACATATAAAATCAGTAGGCCTACACCATCATGATCATAGTTTCATTGCCTCATCTTAAAAATAGATTATTCAGTCTAGCATGCACATAGCGAAATCGGTGGAACTCGGAAATTTTTCGGATAGGTATGAATGATACGTATATGTTTCAAATGCAAAGGACATAGGCCTACATGCTTATGAAAAAAAATTTGGAACCTGAAAATCTGTTTGCTATGTTCATGATTCATAATGTGCATGTTTCACTATTTGTGTGTTCGCTATGTGCTTGCTAGATTATACTCTGATTGATATATTTGTTATGACTTCATAGATCACACAAACATTAAAAACAAAGGAAAACACAAATATGATCATTCCAAAATGGGATAGAGTCCTTTTGTATGTCTGCTAAGTAAAAAAAAACCCCAAAACTACTGGTTCTTCTTTTCATCTTAGAAGTAGAGGAAAAAGATTGGCAATTCATCTATGATGGCGGCAGTAATGTAACAATGGTTGCTTAATTAACTTTGAACCAAGCAAAATGTGAGTAATGGGTATTTTTGGCGATCCTATGCAGAAGTGGTTTAAAAAATTGAAGGTGCCATAGCATATCAGCAAAAGTATCTCAGAGAAGGGTAATTGATATAAAAATGGTTTTTATAAATTCAAAGACATGTATTACAATTTTAGTGGGGTGGAGTCAAGTACTATTTTCTATTTCAAAGAGACATCACCATTTCTGTGATGTGGAGGGAGAGGATTTCATGATTGTCGTTATTCTCGTGGGGGTAGAGTAGAGCGCCGTTATTCTCGTGGGGGTAGAGTAGAGCACGGTCAGTGCTGTCTTTTGAGGGTTTACTTTACCAATTTGATGCAAGTAGTTCTCCTGAAAAGTGTGTTGCCTTCTTATAACGTAATCTTCATATTACCTGGTTTTATTAGTATGAGTATGATAATTTACTATACTGTCATAGACCAATTCAGAGGGAGAACGATGGTTGGCCCAGTCGTAACAATAAAATGGGATGAAAACAGAGATGATATGTTATATACGATCCAGCCTGCTCATAACAAAATCGACATGACACAGAAATATTTTTAATATGTATGAATTTCGTGATCTATGTATACGAAGAATATGCATATTCAAGAAAAATTCTGAGACCTAAACATTTGTTTGTTATGTGCGTGTTTTGTTTTGTGCATATTCACTATGGACGTGCTTGTCTGTATAAAATTCGACAGCTAAGTGTAGGACCCTGCCATAGGTCATTTTGAAAAGTGACATGTAACGGAATATAATAATGAGCAGTGGATTGTACTTTACACTTAAACACTTATTACACCGTCAGCGACTTAAGTCTCCAGGCCATAGTATGGGCTCATTACCGCAGGCGACTTTGGTCGCTAACACAACCAGGCACACTAAATATAATTAAACTACGAACGGACGCACTGCATTCAAGTACCAAAGGAAATCACCTTTTCCACTGATCGACCTAAATGACATCAGTATCAGAGCTATACTTCTCCCTCTAAGACCTAATATTCACAACACACTCTATGGAACATTACTGCAACTGCAGCAAACTTGCACTTACCACTACATGGCATTGAACAGAAGGGCCAGAGCCCAGCTGTTCCTGGATCTATAACAACAACAGCAACAACAAAACACACACTTAGCAAACAGATTTTCAGGTCTTAATTTTTTTTTCTTCTCTTTTCTAAATTAAAATCCATTGTCTCAAAAGTAATTAAGTCAATTATGAAGACAACTAAAGGGATCAGGTAGGAAAACTTGCTAACCCTCAATATTTCTATCTAGACTTGACGTATTTCCAACTTTATGACGGACTTGGCTTGTTCTTAACTTGATTTACTGTTATAGAAATACAGTTTGTGATATTGTGAATGACTCATTTGGTTTATTTCACTTGACTGATTTCAAAGGGATGTTCTACAAGTACTACAGTAAAATGAGAGCTAGTACTTTGATTTTAAATACAAATAAAAAGAAACTAATTCTAAAAATGGAAAATTTCAACCGTAATTTTTTTCTTTCTAAAAATGGACTTATCCTGTTTTTCACTTATTTGATTTCATAATAGGATATTCTACATGTACTGCAGTAAGATTATTAGGGCTAGTATCCCGACCCCCCCCCCCCCCTCCCCCTCCTCCAACACATTATAATGGACTTATCACGTTTTTTCACTTTAGCCCTTAAGTCGTGTCTGATCAGCACATGAAGACAAATTTAAGTCAGGCAACCATCCCATAATTAATTGGTTAGTTCAGTTTTTAAAACGGAATTAAAGAGTGAGTTCACCTTGTTTACCTTCTTGTCATAAAAATTCCTCTCACCAGGATATTCTATCCAGTTTTATTGGGTTAGAAAACTGGGGGGCATGCACTGTGATTTTAAGAAAGGTCTTCTTTTTATTTCAAGATTTTATTTCTAATAGAAAAATTCAACTGTTTCCATTGCATTGAAGTGGATGGGTGGGCTCTCTAAAAGCAATTTCGGAGGATGTTTATGTATTTTTACGAGTTTTTTATAAAGTCTGGGTCATTATTAAAATGCATGACGACTGACACAGGCTTATGAGGATCGAGGAAAAGGTTTAGCAGGTTCAAGTCACGTACTCTAAGGAGTTTTGAGGATGAAAAATAAATACCCGTATATATGTATGAATGCTATGGTATGTGTTCAGAGAAGAGTGAAAAGAGCATAGATGTGAGAGAGAGGGAGGTCGAGAGAGAGACAGAGTGAGGCCAAAAAAGGAAAGGGGGTAAGAGGGAGAGAGAGAGAGGGAGAGAGAGAGAGAGAGAGAGAGAGAGAGAGAGAGAGAGAGAGAGAGAGAGAATGTTTATGTATATTTTTACAAGCTTTTGTAAAATTTTGTGTTTCACATGACCGAATCCATTTGCACTGACTGTTTACTTACTGCGAGGCATATTTCACCATTATGGTTATGAGGTTTTTAAACTTATTTTTAAAAGAAGTATAGTAATAGTTCAACTAAAATTTTTAGTTGAACTATTATACTATTATACTTTAAAACATTATTTTAAATTTAAATGTTGATGTTTAGATGCCCCCCATTGTCCTAATTTAGATCATTTAGGAAGTGGGCTTTAGATCCTGCCTGTCAGGATGCAAATCCTGGAGAAACACAGAGATACTTACTAAATAATATTTCTCCCCACTCAGGAATCGAACTCTGGTTTCCTGTATGTCTCTTATATCAAGGAGAAAAAATGTTTGTCTCACACAAGTGGACGTCTTGGACAGTGTCAATAATATATCTTATGATGGTGTGTGGGAGGGGGGGGGTGGGAGGGAAAGTCACTGTTTTGATAATTGGTAGTCTTAGTGCATTAGAGCTGGATCGACTCTGTGGTTCAGCTCAACAAACCGGCATGACACATTTCTCCACAATTGACTTTTTTTTTTGCTTTCTTGTGGCCGCATATATTTTCTTAATATGAGAATTGGACTTTAAATAAGTTGCTAACAGTCCGATCTTCACATCGAAAAAATATGTGATGGAGAAAGATCTGCAGTCATGGAAAAGCAAAAAAGTCGATTTTATGTAAATGTTTCATACAGGTTTGTTGAGCTGAACCTTCAGAATGTAACAGGCATCATGAAAGCTGGCTTTTTAGAAGACGACACTACATATACAATGCATATTGCCTTTAGCCTACATTGATAGATCAGGTCATTACTATTTAGCAGCTTATGACTGTTTGTCATCTGAACTGGATATTTTTACTTTCTTCAAAACGCTGCTGTATTTGAAATCAAAGAAAGCAGCCACACCTATGTACATGGACAAGCATTCTTGGGATATCTCCTGCTTTCATTACATTGTTAGACTCGTTTAGTTTCATTGAGTTTTGTGGCACTTGCAACACAATTAAGGCACACAAGTGCTGAAGATTACAAGTCTCATTAAACTGTAACAAAAAAAAAAAAAAAAGAAGCAGAAGAGAATAGGATGAGAGATGTTTGATGGGAAAGGAGGAGCATTACTATTTTAGCTCTGACAAATCCTGAAGTTTTTATCTGCTTCATTCTTTAAGTTGGGCGTACAGAGCTTTACCATTTCCTGCATGCATCAAATAATAGTTTTTAAATCGAGTAATTTATATATATGGATGTTTTGTTTCTGAAACAGTTGATTTGACAGAAACTTTTTGTGATGAGTTGTGAGTGTAAGAAAGATTGGATTGTTCTTGAAAAAATTGTTTTGGGGTGGTCTTATTAAAGACCAGATTGTAATATAGCTGTGTGTGGCGTTTGCAAATAATTTCATATTTGTGGCTAAGGTGTATGATTTCACCCATGTTTTTGCACCAACTGAGAAGTACTTAACTCCTCTTTTATTCCGTAATAATTCATGTACAAGATGTGATGACACATTACTATACATTCCTTTGACATGCCATAGCCTTATATGAAATCCAAGTGTTCAATATTGTTCATATGAAATAAAAACTTTGGAAAAAATTGAAATATTTGAGTGCTCAGTATTCATATGCATGATACATTATAGCTTTCGGATGTGTAAGTGTAAAGGATTGAAAAATAGTCAGAAGGCGGCACAGACCAACCTACTTGGAGAACATAAGCAGAAGGGTGACAGGGAAAGATCAGGGTAATGTGCCTTTTTTAGAGCATCTGAGCGGAGGAATGAAAGGAGAACCATGATCGCTCATGTCTGTTGCAGATCTGGCCCCGGGATGATTATGGTACAGTCGCCACCGCTTGGGCTGAACTCGCCTGAGTCGATCTTCAGCTCGAGTCCCAGCATCTTTTTTTTCTTTACAGGTCACAACGTTAAGTTGAACTTCGGATGAGCTGATCTTTTTTTCACTCCCCCGATGACATCAACTCATCCATAGTCAACTGTATATAGATCAATAAAGTATGAATTCTGACTTCAAGGAGCTGTTGAGGTGTACTGATAATACCAGACATAGGCTTAAAGGGTACACAGAAGCAGATGTAAAATTAGACTCCTATACTCACAACTTGCTTTTTAAGTGCAGAATATATACAGTTGGGCTCAGTTAGCGCAACAGGGAAAACTCGAAATCATGGTGAGCTTGTACAGTTTGCCATTTCCCATCTGATATGTCTTTAATATTTCGCTTTTGCGTTACCCTGCTTATGGATGTGTCTATTCAGTTCAAGAATCAGATTGCTCAAGTTGGAAAAATGTGTACGAATGAAGAAAAATTGTCTTAGTGTAGAATCACAGCCAAAAAGAAAAGTGAGACAAAAGCATCTTTTCCACACGATGGCCTATTAATACTATTATGTTTCAGCAGGATATATCATATTTCAGTATCATAATATGATTAAACAGGGTTATCCAAAAAAAAAAGTACAAATTTTTTTTCTAAATATCTCGCACAAAATTAGTATTAGAAACTTGTAATTTGAAACAAATATAATTCGTTCAAAAGGAATTTGTTTGACATAAATTCTCAAAGAAGAAACCTATTTTTCGAAAATGAAAATGGCTTTTTATAAAAACCACCTTTAAATGCAAAATGCACCAATTTAAAAGATCTTATAAGAAAAGTCATAAAATGATTGTTACATTTTTTCTTTTCCTTTTATTTTTAAAATCTAATTTTTCCATTCCTGAAACCTTTAAGCAATATTTCTTTTCTTCTGCAGAGTTAAAACATACTTTTTTTTAAATTCTGGAATTCTGAGAACCTTTGGTCTATATGTCCTCCTTTGGACTTGACACATTTTAAAGCGTCATTCATAATGTTCAGTGGTGGCCAAACACAAGGATCCATTCAACCATGCCTACTCAAAGCCACACACACTGTACACCTTTCAGTACGGAGCTGTTTCTAGAGACAATAAGGAGGGGCGAGGTTGCTCAAATAGACAGCATTTTTGGAGTTGATATAACCTGAAAGGTGAATATGGGCTTTGCTAAAGAATCAAATGTCATAGGAGAAATGTTCAAGCTTTTCAAGACGATCGAGGAATCATGAACACATTGCTTTCCTCTGACAACTTTGCTAACGGGAAAAAAGTACAGCCATAGATGAAGATCTACCTTGAGAATGTGGACCGTTGAGATGTAGGAAAGGCATTGCTGCAGACATCGTCTACATACAGATGTCTCAAATTCTGCACCCTGGTGACGTTTAAAGGGGTGCAAACGGAGTGTGTTTCACCTGAAGTGGTCATTTTGTCTGGGAATTTTTAGTTCTGATTCTCTAAAGGTCCTAACTGATGGACTATTTCCACCCTTGACATCAAGGAAGGCCTTAAGGACACTTTAACATTATTTCCGCACCTTGTGCAAAACTTGTGAAATGAGTTGGCGGTGAGGAAATGTTCAATACAAAAAGCTTTCTGCTCTTTACAAAGTCTAATCTTAACCATGATCTCAGCAAGCAAAGGAAAGTAGAGAAAAACTATCTGCAAACTTCCGTAGGCATGTAAGACTACTGTAGTTCGCAATATGGCGCAATCGTTGGGATTTTTACTGGTAGGCCTAATGCGAACTAGTGCATCATTCTTCAAAATGGGGACATAGCTGAAAATGGGTTGTTTTTTTTACGCGCTATGTACAGCAAAACTATTCTGAGGATTTATCTCAAATAAATATCAGACAAATTCCTTTTGACTTCCAAATGTAGTGTACAAATTTGAAATGCAAAGTTTCAGAGAGGAAGAAAATATTAACCAAAAAAATTGTAGTTTTTTTTAGGTGAACTCCAGTGCACCCACCAACCACCTGCTCCCTTGGGCTCTTGAGAGCAAGCTATGAGGTGTTACTTGAGAGTAACATACAAAAAAAAAAGGAAAAGAGATAAGGACGACAAATGATTAATAAGAAAAAATGAGTTAACCACACCAGAGCACCTGGCAACCACCCATCAAGCAAGTAATGTTGTAGTGAACAACACTTAGAAATGTACAGTTATACATACACAAGGGCATGAATAGTACACACCCTTCTCTTGTTGTATTATCCTATCTTAACAACATAACATAATGTATCAACATATGTGTCACGACGCGGTGGAATCAGGCGCTCGTCAATTTTTGGGCAAGTGGAATTATAGGTATCATCTTAAAGCTTGTACATTTGTCTTCTTTTGATGAAAAAAATACCCATCTATCTTAAATACAAATCGAAATATTTGCGATTGAAGGAGGTGGGGATCGTCTGGTTTCAGAGGAAAGATTTGTGTGAAAATGGCGCCAAAGTTTGCTGACTATATAAAAGGTAGAGAGTCCTTGGAAATTGAAAGTTTACATTTTAAAGTGAAATTCACACAGAAATGTGTTTTCAAATGGACATACAAGATATGGAGCCACAAAACAAAAATTCAATAAAAATTGTCAAAAACCGACAGAAAAAAATGCCCAATTTTTCAATTTCATTACTTTGACGAGCGCCTGATTTCACCATGCTGCCTCACATATACAACTGACAAACAATGCACAGCAAGTCAGGAATTTAATTGAAAAATCTAGTTTTATTATCCATTTCAGCTTCAGTTCACTGTCAAAATACAAAAGACAGGTGAGCACCAATAGGGTAAACTTCAATCAAAGGCAGTGAGTGACATCTTCAAAATATGCACCTCAAGTACATGTATAGTGTTGCATACAGAGTGATAAAAAATCAGAAACTATTGACTAGAGGTAGCAACAAAAGGTCAGCTTGTTGTCTCAGTGTACATGCCCATCTCTAAAAACACACTGATAACATGTACCCCAATTCTGAAAACACACAGACTGTGTGTTCAACATATTTCCCCTAAAATGTGTGGCGGGCGTCTTCACACAAACACCTGGGCAAGGATACTTGGAGTCAGAGATCTCTTTGACAGGTTCTAATACGATAACTGAACCCTAATAGAGATAGATCTGTAGAGTAAAGCAACACATACAGCTGTTCTAAATATTTCTTAAACATTTTTAATATAGGTGTTTTTGTGCCCCAATCAACAAAATTGTAATCATTTAGAAGGTGGACTTTGACCTGAGAGGGATACAGCTTGCCATCAGAAAGACTGAGATTCTCAATAGAAATTCTCCCCACTTGGGAATCAACTCAGATCTCCCTTATGTGACAGCTAAGCGTTCAACAGCTACACCACAGAAGCTGGATATACAATATGTACCAGTGGCTGAGTAAATGTAAATGTTTCAGTAAGTAGTAAGTAGTGATCAATTCAATTCTTTACTGCACAGTTTCTAAACTACAACATATTTACCCTTAGTAACATTATGGAAACATTCACACAAAATTTCATCCTGACTATGAAATCAACTGGAAGCTATTTACTGGCGGAAGGAAGGATTTAACATTAAGGCTGCCAGCAAGGTAATGGAATGTGGTGATTAACAGTAGATTTAAAAACAAAAAAAGCACTCCTTACGGAAATACAGTCAAACCTGCCAAGACATAAACATATGACAGCCAGCTATACTTAAAGCCTCTTTCCATTTTCCCTTTTGTGTTTTTTCTATATAATAGTACTGCATTAAACAAAATCCTCTCCAACACAGGTGTAGCCACAACATTTCATCAATCAATAGCAAAAAACTTGTCTAAGATGGCCACGAAAATCTCTTCTTGCCCGACGCTTTGCTTTTAATTATTCATCGGCCTCTGACATGACAATCCATTCACTCTAATAATCCATTCACTGCCGTCATTGTTAGCCAGAACCAATCACTGACCATCATGCTTCAAAGGTCAGGCTATGACTCCTCCCACTGTTTACACAAGTTGACCAGTTGCTAACATATTATAATGGGTCCTGCCTTACGGTATGGCAGTTATAAGCCTGTGACATCCTCCAGTTGGGACTTCAGAAAGGAATACAGTAGTCTCCGCCTTAGATCCCGGTGCTCCGGAGCAAGGAAAATGTGGGGTCTTAGGCGACGGACTAAGAAAAGAACCTATGGTGACCCATGTTAAGGCCCACAACAGGTAAAATGGTCTCCCTCCACTCTAAAATGAACTGGCGTACCACCTGGGTGGGTCTATGACAAATTCTGTTGAGCAAAGAGTGGTTTACCTCTATGACCAATCACAGTGGCTTGAAGCATACCATTTACGGTTACTATCCTATCAAATAGAGTCTCAAGTTTTAGGCTTATCCAGTTGCCCCCCCCCCCCCCTTATATATGTCTAAAATTTATAGCTTTCCATTACATTTCTAACCGAGTTCCCCCGCCTTTGTCGTTACACACCCTATAACGTTGTGACCACACCAATTAAAATTTAGTCTGTCTTGCAAATTTACAGCTGCAATGGTCAAGGAAGAGTTTACAGTTCGATGTGAATCCGGCCTGGAGCAAACGTGTAGGCCCTACCCAGCCAGCGAATGATGTTAGTTTAGGTGGAGAGCTCAGATGCGAGTGTATAGTTTGGAGTAAACAAACGCGTCAGTCAGTTCCCACCTCGGCATGATCCTGTTTGGGGCAAACATTGTTCCGCTTCATCGAGTTTTACAACGTTTATATGATCACATTCGTGAGAGTGGCTGATCTTTGACCAAACGGGCAGTTCAATAAACTTGACTTTTCACTCTTAGTTGATCGGCTGCATCCGCCCAGGTTTTTGCTCCGTAAATTATGATTTGAAAAGCTGGATCTTTGCCGAATGTAGACCTTCCGAGTGAATCAGAGCGGGATCTTAGGGTGACTTTTATAGAGTAAAAATTATGTTTTCTTAAAACAGCAAGACCTTAGGCAAACTGGAATCTTAGGCGAACTGGGATCATAGACGGTGGGATCTTGGGCAGATACTACTGTAGTTAGTTTTCTTCATTTTTGTCAGTCCTGCCTAAGACGACCACTCTTTTCCTCGAAAATTGGTGGCACATCTGAGAAAGTTTTGACTGTACATCTTATAAAAGTGAAATCACTTATGAGACAATGCATGTGATAGTGACAATAAATACAGTAATATATATATAGTACGCAAAATGTTAAAATAGAAGGACTGAAAATAATTTCATGTACATACGCTCTCATGATTGGACAAATTAGGTATCAATCAAAGTCACTGTGGTACAAAGTCAAGCACGGGTCTTTCAAATAAGTTTTGAAGTAAATCCAAGCGGTAATTTTTGTAAATTTTGTGAGGAGTATAAAAGTAGTTTATATATTTCAGGATAATTTGAAGTATCGAATCATGGGACTGAAAAATTAATCACTTTTTTTGTGTGTTTCCTACTCCTACCTTCTCATCTAAGCCCTGCAATGCTTCTTGTGCTTGTAGGAATCCATAACTTGTAAGATTAAAAACAAATTGCTTAGGCATGTTGTCATACTAAAATTAGTCTTGGAAAAGTGAGGAGAATGCATAAATCATTAAATGGGAATGTTTCTCTAAAGCTCCGAAACAGATGAGGGACTGAATTATTAGTATTATCAAACAACTAGATAAAATGATTACCATCACAGGAATAAAAAAAAGCAGAAGATTAAGATTAAGTGGAATAAAATCCACAAATCATAATGCTAAAAAACAACAACAAATGTAAACATGTAATACTGGAATCAAAACAAGTGGCATGCTCATAACCTGCTGCGTATTATAACAAAAATATTTCAACCTTACATTAAAAACGTATTTTGATATTAGTAACTGTAGCAATGACATAAAAGAAACACATGTCCCTCAATCACTTCAATAGAAGAAGTAGGCCTATAAAACTTGAAAGAGGAAAAACAAAAAACATTTACCACAAGTGGACTAAAATAATCAGCAGTAACAGCAAAAAGTGTTGATGTAGCGTCTAGTCTCCCCCTGCCTAGGAATTAATTCAGCCACAAGACACAAGAGCTGCTCAAGCCCAAAGGTGTTACGGCTGGTCCTTTTCAAATATAGTCTTATTTGGGTTTTTTTGGGTACAAAAAATTTTGACTCCAATTTCAAGATATCAAAAGAGCCCCTGGATGCAAACAATAAGCAGATTTAGGCTTTCATATTGTTTTCAGCGACACAGCCCTTGTCTTCATTTTTTTTATAGTTTTGCTAATGTATCTGATGACTCCTCTCCTTCTACATATGGGACACTGATCCAGTTAAAACAATGAAGGAGTCTGTGAGTTGTTAAGGAAAATCACAAACAAATCTTTAACAATGGGGGGGGGGGGAGCTAATACTTCTTGACAAGCCATTAAAAAAAGGTTCATTGAAACCTTAAAGACTGAGACTCGCCTTTGACATGCCCTCTATTTGTGTTTCGAGGGGCATAAATCAACTCAAATAAAGCACAAAACAAAAGAAAATAACAAATTCCAGCTCCTTTAAAATTAAAAAAACCTCAGAATAATGGTCTTTTCCAAAAAACAATCAAGAAACATATCAATTTAAACTGGAAGATGTAATCAACATATGAAACATTCTATTTAGATAATCAATTACAAATCTTTGTCTCATCCGAACACCAGGAATCCAATAAATACACCAATATCTGTCTCCATGAATACACAATTCTGTACAACCAGTGACCCACAACGAGATTTGCAATCCTAATTGACCATAAGTATTCCAAATCAATGCAAGAAAAATCATGAGAAAAACAGGATTTACTAGAAAGCATCCTCTAAAAAAGAGGAAAAATGTTTTATAAACATCACGATTGTACAACTAATAAATTGCTGATTGTGAATCACAGAAAAAGGTTACATTGTAAAAGAGTAACAACTATTTGTGAATAACAAATTGATGTAAGATGTGAGCACCCCAACATACATCAGATAAAAAATGTAAACATTTTGATATTGTAACTTTTAGTCCATAAGATACAGTCCTGTGAATGCAGTCGGCGGACTATCAGTGAAGAGCATCTTCAACCAAGGGAAAGCTGAATTTGTCAGTATGAAGAAAATCAATTAACGAGTTCGAGAAATACCAAGTTTCAAACATTTTTATCAAAACTGCGTATAGTGCAAAACTTACAACTTCTTAAAGGCATTCATTTACAGGGGCGTGATCAGCCCAATCTGGTTTCAGGACAAAGATTGCAAAACCATGAACATTCCATCAAATGGATATCTCACCATGCTTAGAAATTTTTGGAGACGTTTGTGGAGATGTTAGGGGAGGAGAAGAGCTTATGTTGTTGAGGAGGCCTGGTTGCAGCAGGGTGGAGCCACACACACACACATCAAGGGTGACCCTTGCATGGTGCAAAAAAGGGTTTGGGGAATGCTTTACAATGCCAAAATCTAACAAACGAACGGCCACTGCATTTCCCCACCCTGAAACCTCTCAGTTATAAATTTCATTTGGGTTTTTTAACATAGAGTCTACAGAAACAATCCTCTATCAAATGAACAGTTGAAAACCCCAATGTTGAAAGTGAGATCCAAAGAATCGATCTACAAACATGTTACAGAGTTATTCAAAATTCTGGCGGCATATTCAAGCTTGTGTGGAGAAAATAATGGCCAACACTTGGAGTACATAATATAAATAGCCACCGTCTTCATTGAATTTATTTAGCAATGTAAATTTCAGTATATTTGTTCTTCAATAGAAGACAAATACATCTCAACTTCTATTAGATGGGTATTTTTCAAAGCAAGACAAATAAACAAGTTTTAGATGAGCACCTGATTTCATGGTATCGTGACACATTTTGCTTCTAAACTTTAACTTATCAAACACGATTTTTCGAGTGTGTGATGTTTGATTTTTATCATTTTTATCTCATACACATCTAGTGCAAGAGCTATATGTGTTGTTTTCATCGTTAAATTTCAAAGACTCACATAAACAAATTCGTGTGTGTGTATGTTAGAGGGTAGGGGGCTTACTTATGTACCGTCCCATCTTATAGGTCCTAAATTACAGTAATAGGTGACTGTACTAAAAAGTGATAAATGCTTTGAGAATCTATAACTTTCTCTTTTTGCTTATTCTCTACCTACTTGCAGAAATACTGCCTTAATATTGTAAAAAGTTACATAATCATAGTAGATTCAGTTGGAGAGCATCGTATACGATCCACTTTTTCCATAAAGGCCTGCAACCTCGCCTCGTCAATTGGATTTTCCCAGTTCCCCATTCTCTTGAAATGCGAGCCAACGATGACAGCATGTGCCTGACGGTACTGATGAAAGTTGTCAATGGTAACACCAGAGCCTACAAGCACTGGAATGTTCACACCACCTAAAACAGCTGAAACAGAGGGAAAAATGGGTTGAAATCTTTATGAAGCTTTGGGATTTTTTTGGTGTTTTTTTTTGTGTTTTACGGCACTCACAACTGCATAAGGGATATGTGCACGCAGGACACATTAAACATTTTCAGTAGGTAGGAAATTTTATAAGTTTGCCCGGGAGGCGGCCGAAGACTATTCTTATTCATTCTGGACCACCAAGGGATCTTCAAGGCCCACAACTTGCACATGGGACCTCTGAGATTTTTCACCCTTATCCGAGAAGGCTAGGTGTTAGATCTTACCTACTATAAAATTAGGTGTGTGGCTGAAAGACAGCAGTAAGAAGCCAAGAATAGCAGTAGAAAGGCTGCAGAAAGAGTCAGGAACCCCGAGGTGGGGGCAGAGGAGGTGAGGGGGAGGGGGCAGAAAGTGGAGACGAAAGCAGACCACCGAACATTGTTAGACAGCAGGAAAGGAAGTGAAAAGAGAACATTTTAGAGTAGAGCATTTTCTGTTGCAGTCTGGATTTGAAACCAGAACCTATTGAATGAAAGCGAACACCATAACCTCTCGACTAAGAGAGCCCCCTATGGAGCTTCACCATGAGAGTAAATACACTTGACAAAGAACACTAAAGCCTATTTATTGTTATTCTAGGTAAGTTGACTCAAGAAAAATCGAACATTTTCTTTTCAAATTGCTTTGTTTAATGGTTACATTTATGCCCATACTAGATACCATCTAGGTCTTTTGAACAGCTTGTAGTGTAGAGCTTTTACACTTTGCCATCATATGCAGAAGATGTAAATACTGTTCCTGTGTGCGTGTTTTTGAAAATCTCGAGCATCTCTGTCTACTGAGACATTGTATCCCTCTCAATCCCAGTTGGCCATAACAGACACAGGGTAGAAGCCCGCCTCTTAAATTATCTAAAGAGTGTTGGGGGCGGGGGCAGAGTAAAACTTCTGCGATTAAATTTTTTTAATTTACCGCCAACCACCAATTGTGTTTACCTTTCACCTCGGCCACACTCGCTGCCTGTCCAGTGCTGCCCCCTGTGACAACAACCCCATCGCTGATGAAGAACTCCGCCGCCTGGGCAATGCTCACAATGTCCACGTCGCTGGTGATACTGTGAGCACTGACAGAGATAGAAAAATGATAATGATAATATTGATAATAAAACAATAATAATATTGACGACGACGATGATAATAATAATAATAATAATAATAGTTCCATACCACCTAATTCTTCAACGGCTCTACTGTATGTACTGAGTCAGGCATAATAAAAAATAATGCTTATGATTATAAAACAATAAAATAATAAACAACAGTGGCAATTCATGTACCACCTTAGAAAGCTCAAAGCGCAGTACAATCAGAGAGGGTTTACAGTAATAGAGAGGTGACACTCGTGGCGGCGCTCCATAACAACAATGCATTGTTTCGTGTATCGCCCGGCGCGAAAAGCTGTGATCGCTGCCACGGCGATGCTCAGGGATGCTGTCATGTCGTGAGAAAATGTAGTGCCGTCTGTAGTTAGTTCACTGGGTTACTAGATCTAGGTCTGTGGATTCTATCGCATATTTTAGGCAACTCCCCTGCCTCCCTTGGCCAGAAACTGTAAGACTTATTTTTGGCTTAAGTTAACATAGATCTAGACAAATAGACACAGATATATTACTTCTTCTCTATAGATCTGAAAAAATAATATCACTGTAATTAAAGGAATAATCAGTAAAGTTTTCAGCAAATCTACTCGTTCTCGTGTGTCCCTCCCTCATCTCTCTCTCCCTCTCTGTCAGTCTGTCTGTCTGTCTGTCTGCCTGTCTGTCTGCCTGTCGTCTTTTTTCTCTCCCTGTCTCTTTTTCTCCCCTTCCCTGTCTCTCTTTCTCCCCACTCTCTCCATCTGTTTACCTCTCTGTCTGTCTGTCTGTCTGTCTGTCTGTCTGTCTGTCTCTGTCTCTCTCTTTCTTTCTTTCTCCATCTCTCTTTATCACCCCCCCTCGCTCTGTGTGTCTGTCTGTCTGTCTGTTTCGTCCGTCTCTCTCTCTTTCTCTCTCCCTGTCTCTTCTTCTCCCCCTTCTCTCATTCTGTCTGTCTGTCTGTCTGTCTGTCTGTCTGTCTGTCTGTCTGTCTCTCTCTCTCTCTCTCTCACACACACACACACACACACGCACACATTATATTAAATACCCACAATTTCAGATCATGGAAAAGCACATGAAGCAATAATGATAGATCTACCAGTTACAGAGTTTAATAAGATCCCCAACAACTTCCATCCCCCATTCCTCCCCCCCCCCCCCAAAAAAAAAAGTGGTAATCGGACAAAGAAACATATCTTTCACTAGTAGAATGCAAGCTCAATTTGGGCATTTAGACAGGGAAAAAAAACACAATTTATAGCTGATATAACAAAGTTGAAGTGTGTTGAGTTTGTGCATGGAGTGTCAGTCTGGTAGGACCACAATCACATTGTCATTATTTTGATCTATATTTTTTCTATTCATCAAAATATTTTCGTCACCCTTTGGAAATCGAAAGAAACTCAGATTTTTATTTTTATTTGGTGCAGTTTATAGCAGAACGCCATTGACACTTCGTGCTAACTAGGGCCATGCTTGTCTGTGTGATCAACGAAAATGCCTTGAACAATGGACGTAGTTTCTTTTGTTTACCTCGCGTTTCTCCACGATCAGCTGGTGACCCAGATATGCGCATCCGGGCGAAGTGTCATCTCTCTAGTATTACTGTAAACTCTCTGGTACAATGCAGAATCATGATAAATTCAACTAAACTGACAAATTAAAAGGCAGAAAAAACATATTATGAGACCGTTTATACACATACAACACACACTCACAAAAACACAAAACAAAAAGTACACAAAGGGAATCCTAGAAAAAAACTTATAAAAAATAAACGTCTTAACAAAAGCGTTTCTATATTTAAAAAGAAGAGCAAACTCACCAGTGCTTTTTCTTGATGTCCGTATAAACAGCAACGTCATCAGCCCCGATAGACTTTCTGTACCTCATGACCTCGCCAGCACATGCGTTCATTAACCCTTCATCAGCCACATGAGAGAATACAAATCCCTCTGCTCGAATGAATTGTAAACCTGGAAAAAGAGAAATTCTGGATCAAATTTGAAGAGTTGAAAAAAAATATATATTATTAGAAAATTTATACTCTTTCGGTTAACTGCTGTTTTCGGATTAATCATGTTCAGTGTAAGCAGATTCTACAGTACTTTGCAGTTCATTTCCTCTTCAGGTTAATGCCCGACTAGTAGAAATTAATACAGGGAAGTGGTAGACAGAAGAAAGATGGTAAAAAAAAACATTGACAGTGGAAGGCACATCTGTTTTTGGGTTTTTTTTTTCAATTTTGCAGAAGATCACAACTAACAAAACATTATAGATTTTGGAAAGTATACCATGGAAAATAACAACCGAAGTCTCAAGAACACTGATTTCCCAATTAGTAAAACAGTCCAGCAAACAAAGTGTTACTGCAAGAACACATCTCCAAGGATTCCACTATGGATATTTTAAGAAACTAAACATTTTCAGAGACTGCCACCATCTGATAAAACTGTGATATCCACTCTTTAATCAGTTCTAATCATTCCTTAGCAAACACATGCAACCTGATCCAGAAAAAAAAAGTAATTTCTAAAAAGAACCTCATTCTAAAAAGAGACAGGACAGGTACAGCAATGTTAGGCCTATAGAGTTTAACTTTGAAAAATGAATAGTGACCAACATACAGATTTTCTTTTCAGTGTGCACTATCATGTTTCTGTTTTCAACTTTCTGTTCAAGTTTCAATCAATAACCTTAATAAGTTATACTTTCCTATTGCTGCTTTTATATTAGTGGTGCCTTGTACTTGAAAAATAAATAGACCACAAATCTTTTTTTCTAAATTAAAAATTTTAACCATATATTTAGTATCATGTATCCTATCTGATGAAAGGTTGACTTCACAACAACTCCCTGGACTGAGTGTTTCTTTCCATTTCCACAGCCTCCATACCTTCCATACCCAGCAGGACACACAGTGTTGCAGCCAGTAAGGCACATATATTACTTTATAACTCTCTGCTTGTCCTCCTTATTTCTGATCGCTATCGCCTCAGTATAAACCACCATTTCAATGTGGATTTTTTAAATGTTTTTTTTTTTTATCACTGTAACTGTAACACAACTGACATTGAGTCACAAATAAAGCTGCAGCAACAACACAATAAAATAAATTCTGAACAAGTGTACATTGCAGAAGTTGCAACAAAAGTAGGCAGTTGAAACAGAACTTTGACTGCAGCATACATGGCATTGTAGGGGCGTAAGTTATCTCCCAAATCCAATCTCAAAATGTTATTATTAAAAACAATGTATAAGAATATTTCTGAGTGTCATAGGGTCTGCAGGGGTAATCGTAATATAGTGTAAAGCGCATAGAGCTTGCTGCTGAACAAGGGTATGCGCTATTAAAATGCTGTTTATTATTATTATTATTATTACTATTTTTATTATTATTATTATTATAATTATAAGTACCAGCAGCTTTCGCCACAGCCATTGCCTGTGTGTTGGCCCCCGCAAGCACCTGGACACCCACGGGAGCATGGGAGAAGATGCGCTTGACCTCGTGACACACCACGGACATAACGGAGGTGACTTCAGGCCCCACCTGGGAGGTGTGGAGGTAGGGAACGTCGTGCATGTTCTCCACGATCAGACCTTCCTGAAAGAATAGTTTACATGAATTGTGACTGGTAAGTAAGTTTATTCAGTGTTTAAGGCATTGGCCCACATCACATTACATAAAACACTCATTTGTTATTTAAATAAAGCTTCCATGATGAAAAAGTACAAGTTGTGCACATATCTTTTTTCATGGGCCAAACATTGCATATTTTTGTCACTGGGCCGAGTCAGGCTGGGAAGAATCAACAATTTCCTTCGATGGACAAAATTTGGACAATAGATATTATAAAGTGAAATTCATCTTCAGTTTCATGAGAGTTGACTGTGACTGGTAGAACCACATAATGAAAAAAATGAACAGCTCAATAAAAGGTCGTGAGAACAACCTCTCATTCAAAACCCTAAATTACAAAGGACAGGAAAGAGATTCATTTATTTCTTGAACGACAAAATTAGGTACAAAGAGAAAAGTCAGAAATACGGTTAAAAAATTCACTTCATCAAGGCAAAAATCTCTACAGTATTGACTGCATGCAACACAATACACATTCGTTAACAATAACACTTATATCTCACCAAGTACTTTAAAAAATTGCTCTCCAATGTTTAAGTTATGCTTCATCATATAGGTTTCTTATTTTGCCTTTTGTATGTACAGTATGATTTGCAAGCCTTTGTACACATGCAGTTGTAAGACATGTTTGATTTTATGGATGAACTAATATACTAGACTTTCAAAAGCAGGCGATGCCTTGTTAACTGAACACATACAGCTTGACATTAATTATGAAATAACACCCAGCATACAAATATCCCACTGGACAGTCTCACCTGACAAATAATATTTTAAACCAATGTGCCAAGATCTGGACAATAAAGTTGCATCTTATCTTAATTAGGACAAAATAATAAAGCAGTTACCACTCCAGCATTCCTGTATAACAACGCCTCTTTGCATGCTATGTCAACGATCTCTTGTACTGAATGACTGCTGCGAGGACTGCCTGGAAAGAATGGAAAGATTTAAAACAATAAACAATAACTTCCTTTCAGATGTCTGTACGCATGTAAAAATTACAACGGCATTTATTAGATTTTTGTGAAACCCATTATAAAAATCCCAATAAAAACCCAAACAAAAACCCCCAAAATGTGTCCTGTTCTGAATCATGCTCAAAAGACTAAAAGGAGAAGCAAATGGAAAGCTAAGAAAATCACATGATGAATTTACAAGAGGTAGATCATGAACATTGGAGTAGAAAGCTAGACAATAAAGAGGGTCGGAGTCATTATTTATAAAAACTCATGTGCCACTTTGGGATTCCTATGAAGTTTGTCACTTAACTATAGCCCTGAAAATACATGGTCGGTTGTAAGGGCAAGCGGGCTAACCCAGATTTCAGGGGTTTCCAGCAATCTTGACCTACACCAAAACTGGGCATTGCCCTACCAATAGGAGAAGTTTGATTTCATTGGAGAGAGTATATCTGTTTGGTTATAGAGAAAACTCTCCTTGTCTTTTAAAGAAACTGAACAAGAGGCAAAAACATTTCCATTGATTTTCTTAAAACAGCATTTTTTGGGATAGCCCCCTTGTGCTTAAAAGCCACCGCATGATAGAATGAAGAATGAATTGTAGAATTCTGACTGGAGGTCAATTGATAGATCAGTTTTACGAACATACAGGAAGGAAGCTATGATCACAGCAAAATAACTCTCATCACTCTATGAGAAACTATTAGAGGATGCATTTTGTTTATTTATTTATTTTTTACATATATAAGTGTTTTTATGCCTCCATTGACACAATTTAGGTAATTTACGAGGTGGGCTTCTGACATTGGTAAGAGGGCTTGGATCCTTACATCTACCCGGGAAGTGTCATAAATGAGTAAGGAATGAACTGGACCAGACACCAAGGTGAGATCATGAACCTTTATCTTGCTACGAAAGTTGATGGGGGTTTTTTTCGTAAGAGTTATACGCCACTTGCAACACAATAAGGTCATATAAGTGCTGAAGATTAGAGGTGTTACAAGAGAGAGGCCAAAAAGCTCTGGAAAACTCTAGTACAAGTGGAGAAAGATACAGAAAATAGTGGTGGTTGTGAAAAAAGCAGTAAGTGGCCAGCTGAGATCTCTGTTTGGAACATGTACTTGACCTTCTTCATACATCCCATGTTACAGCACTTGTAACACAATAAGATCATATAATGTGTCAAAACGCTGTGGAATCAGGTGCTCGTCTATTTTTGGGCACGTGGAGTTATTGGTGGTATCATTTGAAGGCTGATTTATTTGCCTTGCTTCCAATGAAATACATATGTGAGGCAGCGTGGTAAACTCATGTGCTCGTCAAAACAATCTACTTGAAGCAACAGGCGATTTTCCTTGTGCTTGGCAATTCGTACCAAATTTTTGTTCTTGGCTAAACATCTTTCATGTCAATTCAGAAACACATCTGTGGATTTTACTGAAAAACATAGATTAAAGGCGCCCCCAACCTCCTTCAACTGCAAATATCTTGAATTCTTTTCAAAATAGATGGTCAATTTTTTCACTGAAAGCAAGACAAATAAACAAACTTTAAGATGATTCCAATAACTCCATATATGCCCAAAAATTTAAGAGCGCCTGATTCCACCGCATCATGAAACACACATAGGCATATATATA